CTTAAAATTGGAAAGACAGAAAGACGAGAAGGAACAAGTATCAAGGCAGCCACACATATAACAGTGTGTGGTGGAGAGAGAGATGGAGGGATGTCAGTATGACTGTGAAAGCAACCCATTACAAATGATTCAGTTTATGAATATGGAAACATGATTAGTTTGTGTTGACTCCTTGCTCACTTTCTCACCAAACGTCTGCCACTGGGTGCCTATGAGATCAAAAGTCATCATGACAACAACACAACAGCTTGTTTTACTGTATTACATGAAACACACTCCAATTCTCTCTCTCACACACACATACACACATACCTATAAAATGTGTCCATTCTCCAGTTCTCACCCCCACCCCCACTTATCCCTACTCGCTGAGTGATTTTGGAGAGTCTGTGATAGGTAAGTGAAGCACCTCTCATCCTGCTGAAGAGCAGCGAGGGTGGTCAAAGATGAGCAATCTTTAGAGATGCTAAATCTGCCTGGCCTGTACATGTGTAATATGTTGGACAGCCAGTTGTTGTATGACTCTTGAAAAGCATAAACTCATTTTAGGTGGAACTGTTCAAAACTGCACTTAGTTAGTGAAGAGAGCAGGTGACTGATAAGTACAAGAGGTGGCAGTGCATGCAGGACCAGTGCTGTCACTCACAAAATGTACCAGCCATGGTTTAGTGTAGTCCTTGGAGGTAAAATGATAACTGTGCTAAATCAAAAACTGCTTCAACATGGAACATGTGCATTTGAGGTATAAACCGATGCCTGCAACATGTTCCAAAAAAGTTGGGACAGAGCAAATTAAGAGCAGGAATGATGTGAAATGTTTAAATGTTGAAAAAACATCTTAACCCCTTAAAATCCCAGGCTTATTACATACTAAGCCAGGCCAAAGTGCTATGGAAATTAGCATTTACCCTCATCTAACGCTCTGAATTCAGTTCATGAAGGCCTTGTTAATTAGCTAAAGAGCTGAATCAGGTGTGTTTAATGAGGCAGTGTGCTGAAGTCTGCAGTGTTTTGGCTCACAAGGACTAGAGCCTGACACATGTGTACTAAGGCTTATTATTCAGTAACTACAAGCACTTCAATGCAAACAGGCTGAACTATTCTTATGTTATAGGAGCGTGTAATAAAACTTTGGGGTTGCCAGTGGGCCCTGGCAATTTAAGGGTTCCTCAACAACCATTTGAAAAGATTTGTGGTATTTCACTCTCTACGGGGCACAACATCATTAAAAGATTTAGAGAATCCAGAGAAATCTCTGTATGTAAAAGGCAGGGCTGGGTCGAAAACCAATACTGAATGCATGTGACCTTTGATTCTTCAGTCAGTACTGCATTAAAAACAGACACGGTTCTGTAATGAATTTAAACAGACTAACTTCAGAAAATCTTTTTCAGTAATCAGTTTGTTAATAAACTGTGTTTGATCTAATCATGAGAGGCTTTTGTACAAACTTGTGGAGTCTATGCCAGCTTGAACATACACTGTCATTAAGGCAAAAGGGGAACATACCAAATACTAATAAATTCTGAAATTCATGTCAAAATTTAAAAGACTACTTTTCACTCAAATTGTTTTACTGATAATATAATTTGCAAGGAAAAGCTTTTTATTGTATTAAAAAGGAATGCAAAATAAAAGCATTTTCTCTAGTGGTTTAAGCCTTTTGGACTGTATTTTCCCCATTGAATTTTCTTTCAGTATTAAGCTAATTCTTGTATTTTCACCTCACTGGCACTCTAATCTAATAATTTTTAAAAAGGTTTCTGAACTGACAACTTTTTGATAGTCTGTGCATGCAGAAAATAAATATAAGGCACAGAGTAATTTTTATTTAAAAAATGGACTACTTAAACTAATGTACTACTTACATAAACATATCATTGCTGTCAAAGGGAAAAATGTGTATCTCCATTTTTGTCAATTTTTATTTTTCCACATCATTTGAACATGGCAGCTGATCAATGGACCAATAGAAATGCTCCAGAAACTTTCTTGGAATAAAACCTTTTCACATTAACCTCTATAGAAAGTAAAGACGGTTTTTGCCCTCTCCTGTAAAGTTACCAATTTGGAGATACTTGTTTTTCTTTGGACAGCGATAATATGTAGTAGCTATACATGACCAGTTTGTGATGTTCTTCTCACCAACTACTGTTTGCTTTCATTACAAGAATTAAACTGTGGTTCTTTGCACAAGTCATGTATCATGTGTGTATATATGTAACACATGATAAGCAACAGGAAGCAAGCTGAATGATAACAGTATCATTCTGAAATGATAAAGTGTTCTGACAAGCAAGATTTGGAGCTGATTTGGAACAAGAATTCTAAAATCAGTCAGTACCACATGGAGTATGTTTCTCCAAGCACAAATGACAAGAAATGACTTCAGCAATGTCCTCTCAAGATCACCAAGGCAACAAGGTGGTCAGTAACATGACAATGACATCAACATGCAAACGACATCGTCACTGACACAACACACTGAACAGGTGTGAGAGTGCGTGTGCTCTCCGTGAGTCAGAGGACAGCGAACGATGGAGCACCATGTGTGAACAGGCTGAACTAGAACACGTGTGTGTGTGTGTGTGTGTGTGTGCTGTTTAAATGTGACAACAAGAAACACAGATACTGGAAAAACAATGGCAGAAAGAAGGGGACTGAGAGAGAAAGAGAGAGACAGGGAGAGAAAAAGTGTGTGTTCTCTCCCATGAGGCCCTCACAGTCTTCACACTTCCACCCCCACAGGCAGAGCAGAGATGCTTGGCACTATTTTCCTTAAACTTCACCACTGAGACAACCAGCACTCACACAAATTCTCACAAATAGGGCTGGTTATAGTTTAGCAACTTTATACATTTGTTTTTTAGCATTCATTCTCATACTACATACTACAATGGTCATTTACAGTAATGCCATTTTGTACTTTATTTTTACAAGACTACATATAGACAGCAGTACTGTAGTCCACAGTATCCTCTTTCTGAATATTATACAGTTATATTCAAATGTCTGAACTCCAATTACACTTTACTGATTTTCTAAATTAAAATAAGTTCACATAACCTCTACAGAAAACATATTATTTTGAGCCAATAAACAGTAATTGTGTGTTAAAATGTGCAGATATGTGTTCTCTGTGTTAATTTATTTTTGCATATAAAATTAGCATGTAACATGTGACCAGGGGTGCCAAAACTCTTGCTTACGACTGCATATTTTAAAATCGTTCTTCAAGTTCATTTAATATTTTTTAGAGAATCACAAATCCTAACAAAAGAGTCAATTGATTCATTAAGTTTTTCAAAAATACAAACAGCTATTCTTTCAAAAGCTAACAGTTAACAGGCTCCTCTAATGATACTCACAGATAATATTCATGTTGAAGTATTTACTAAAGGACTCACTGAAAAACTGCAATACACAAAGCAAAAACGTTACATGTATGTCTTACAAGCTCCAAAACATAAGCTTGCGCTGCATAGTATTAAACTCATCCCAGAGCTAGCTGAAATTAGCATTTTTGTAGCAGTGGTACTATCAGATCAGATACTAACAAAGAAAAAGAATACATACAAAGTGAAAGATTCTACATTAAACTCCACGATATAATGACATATATGACATATAAAATGTCTATGAACTCACTTTGTACAAGTTGCAGTGGGTAAGCTAGCATATTAGAAAGATAGCTACCATTAGCTAGCCAAGCTAACGTTAACTAAATTTATGACTAGTGAATGAACTTGTTGGATTTAATCTGGACCACAGATATTAATCCAGCTCAGTCTGGTTGTTTAAATTTTGAATAATAGAAAACTGAAGAACAAATTTTAGAGGGTGATTTTTCCAGATTTTGGATCAAGCATGCTTATTTGCTCAATTGATGCTAATAAGGCCAACTACTTAAGTACTGAAATTTGGTATTGAATGACAGAATGTTTCAATACTGAGTAGCAGTTTTGGATGATTCAAATTCAACATCACAGTAATTTCTGAATACATTACAGTATCATAATATCAGAATCAAAAAGTAATACAAATGTAATGAAAGCTTGCTTAGTACTGATACTCTACACTTAAAGAATATCTCACAAAACCGTCAAAGCACGTTTCGATTGAACGGTTTTCTTCAATTAAAATTACACTTATGAAAATATCTACCATTACAGTGAATATGATGCTCACTGTTTATAAGATATATCCCTTGAAATATGGTTAAAAACAGTATCACAGTATGTCAGTTTCGTGGCATAGATGATATCTCTCAGCCCTACTGCTAGAGCATCAAATTTGGATATGCAGCCCTACTCACAAAAGAACTACAGCAGAGCTCATGAAAAACATCAGTCTATAATAAGCACATGGCCGCAATTACAGCATGGTCACTGATAATGAGGCGGAAGATCAACCTGCCCTTCATCGCAACTTTGGAGCTGCATTCAGCTAGACCTCGCACTCATCCAAAGCAAGTAGTGTCAGTCTATAAAAAGCAAGCCAATACACAGCCCACCCAAAGACCACTGCAGAAAGAAAACAGTGAAACAGCAGCTTTAAACCCTTAAATTTGACTTACCACTATCTTTCCTTACTCTCATAATAACACAATAGCTACATAGTACTTACTGCATGAGTCATAGTAGTTACTGAATAATACGCCTCATTGTTATCAACTGAATAAATAGCCTAGAGCTTAATGGGTTAACTCTGTAAGGGCTACAATGGCTACGAAATATGGAGCACACACAACTCCAGTCAACTCAGAAATCAGGATTTAATAAAAAAATATGAGGTAAAGAGACTTCACATGTAGTTATACTAGTCAACAGAACACAATTCTTTACATAATATACAGAAAAACATCAACCCATAACCAAATAAACCCAATAATAATTGCGCATGACAGTCGCAGAACAGATCAGAGGTGTTAAAAGTTACATCCAGTCAGTTTTATACGTCAGTAAAAGCTTGTGGGAGAGCAGGAACATCAGCAACTTTACCTTTTCTTCTAGTTGTTAGTTCTGCATGTGAGATTCAGCATCAGCTTCACCAGATTCAGCCACAGGGATCCTCCACGCATCGTGGCTCATGGTTTCTCTGTTTTCTTTCTTGGGGAGTGGATTCATGGAGACCCTGAGCCCCTCCGGGTTTATCTGCTTCTCTGCTTCAGGAGCACATTTCTCCCTCCGCGCTCCTCAAGCCCAGTTTAAAATGCACACCCAACTTTTCCCATGCTTCGGTGCGCGCATGCGCAGTGCGCAGTGACAGAATAAAAAAAAACGAAAATGAGATTTAGCACTGGAAACGAAAACAACAACCTTGATTACTTAATGAGCCCAAACGCGTTAAAACATTTGCGTCATATGATTTTTTTTCCGTCTAGAAGCAGATGTTAGACTTTCTTTAGCAACATTTTGGAAGTGCACAGAAATAAATGTCACGTTTAGCTACAGACGTCATATATCTGAGGAGAAAAACACCCACGTAGTGAAAGAGAAGTGTGCTATTTAAGCGCGCGCTGAGCCAGTCCTCCATCCGTGCGTCACACCTCTCACCATGTGCGGCACTACTCCTCCTGTCCACTGGGTGGCGCCAAAGGAGAGCTTAACGAGAGCAGCGAGCTGGCTTTCTCTTCCAGCTTTCTCTTCACTGTTATGGAACCCTGTACCAGGTCAGTGGTTTTGTACTAGCTTAGCTCCAGTCCTGGGGACCCACTGTCCTTTTCTGCCCCCAACACACCTGATCCAGCTCAGGAAGGTATTGCTACTGTGGATCAAACTATGCTGGTCGTTAGGTCCACCAGGACTGGAGTGGAAAGCCACTGTACTAGGTCATAGCGCATGATGTGTTTATTATCGGGGAGTGTGTTAGGTAATATGGGGCTTTGTGTGGTAGAGGTATGATGTTACACACTTTCAGATTCAGTATGATTTTTGATTCAGAGACAAAAATTCTGTGTTTTTAAATGTTAAAATGCAAAATAGTGATCTTATACAATAGTCCAACAGGGATATAAACAGTATGAAACATATAGGTAGACGGATACATATGATTGTCCCAGATGCCTAGTTTTGATCATTGACACTGGTTTAAAAGAGGCGTCACTAGAGGTTTACGTATGCGGGGTTAAGCAAGTACTTGGGGGCTCTGGGGGCTTGGTCCCCCAGGAGAATGTTTTAATGGCCCAAAATGTCTGTTTATAATGAACTTTCAGTGTAGCAACAGTAAAAAAGGTATCAAAACATGGCTGTTTGGTCAAGTTGGTCCATAGTAGATCTGTATCATCATAGTTTGTATTAAGCAGAGAGCTAGTATGACTTAAACACTATATCCATCAACTTAGACCAGGCCATAGATCAAGCAAAGACACTGAAATCAAGCAATGTTTTCTCCTTTCTCTTAGATAAGCTGCAGGTCCTAAATATATTATTCAAATACACAGATTATAGATCAGTTCAGCCTCAGTTGGTACAGTCAGTGTGATTTTGCTCTGTAGACATGTTTATTAAGCAAGGGGACAGAATTTCAAAGTCATAGTGACAAATATGTTTTCTGTTTTTCTTGATCACTAACCTCTATCAGATCTTCTCCTTCAGTCCTGTCAGTTTTCTTTCAGGTTCTTTCTCTCCCTCTCCTGTCTGTGTTTAGTAATACTTTAATTTTATTAAACTCAGATTTACAAGAACTCAAGGATCAAAATATTCCCATTTAACTGTGTTTTGATGGAACTACCGCCTTATTTCCATCTTCCATTTCAAACATTTTTCGATATTTCAATGTTGTATTAAAATCATTACACTCTTTGTGTGAGGTAACCTGTTGTGGGACAGTGTGTTAGGGAATCAGGGTTAATGCATTTGGTATTGTGAGACTGTGTTTGATACAGGATTTCAGCTGCTCAACAGTTCGGGGGCTCATTTGTCGTATTTTTCATTTCATAATGCGCCAAATGTTGTCAGTGGGTGACAGGTCTGGACTGCAGGCAGGTCAGTTTAGCACCAGGACTCTTTTAATACGGAGCAATGCTGTTGTAAATCATGCAAAATGTTGTTTGACATTGTCTTGCTGAAATAAGCAAGGCCTTCCCTGCGAAAGATGTTGTATAGACGGCAGTCTGTGTTGCCAATACACGTATATATCGTTTAACATTAGTGGTGCCTTCACAGATGTGCACGTCACCCATGCCATTCGCACTAGTGCACCCCTATACCATCATGAATACTGGTTTTTGAACTGTACGCTGAAAACAAGCTGAGTGGTCTTTAGCCCGGAGGACACAGTGTCCAACGTTGATTTGTTGGACCACAGGACACTTTTCCACTTCCCCTCAGTCCATTTTAAATGAGCTCTGGCCCAGAATAGCCAGCGCCATTTCTGGATCCTGTTTATATATGGTTTCTTCTTTGCGTTTTAGAGTTTTAGCATTTGTGGACGCAGACATTTCACAGATTTTACAGATAGTGGTTTTCAGAAGTGTTCCTGAGCCCATGCAGTGATTTCCACTACAGAATCACATGTTTTTAATGCAGTGATTCAGATGCAGAGATGGGGACTGAGGGCCCAAAGATCATGGCCAGCAAATACTGTTTTTTGGCCTTGTCCCTTGCATACAGAGATTTCTCCAGATTCTCTGAATCTTTTAATGATATTATGTATCGTAGATGATGAAAAGCGAAAGTTCTTTGCTGTTTTACATTGAGAAACGTTATTTTTTAATACTAAACTGTTGACAATCAACCCCCAGGTGCTTTTTTTAGCATTACACAACTTCACCAGCTTTTTGTTGCCCCCGTCACAACTTTTTTGAAATGTGTTGTTGGCATCAAATTCAAAATGGGCATAGATTTTTCAAAAAACAATAAAATTCTCAGTTTCAACATTTGATGTGTTGTCTATTTTCAATGAAATATAGGGTTTAAATGATTCGTACATCATTGCATTTTGTTTTTATATATATTCTGCACAGTATCCCAACTTTTTTGGAAATGGGGTTGTAAAATGAATGAATAATTCCTATCATGTTAAACTATTAATGTTAAAAGAGGTAAACTGTTTGTGTGAGGTTTTAAAACAGGTTCATTTTACCACCTGTCACTCATCATACTGCAACAAGAGCGCTTAAATAGTAAGCATGACCAAAATACAGACACATTTAGTCACTCACTCGCTCACTCACTCACCCAAAGCCACTCTCCACTGTCAAATATAAGATTAGCTATTCATTATGGATACTGTTAATAAAACCACTGCCATTTTTGTAAATATGAAAGGTCCTAGTCCACTCTGTTATCTACATATTGTATTAGAACAAATTGGTAATTCTTCACAGTAAAAAACAAACCATTATAATTGATTTATTATACATCACAATGGGTCAAGTAGTTTTCATTCTAAGTTTTATTCAAAGATATTCAGTGTTACCGTTGTTTGGGGAATAAAAAGATGTCTGATGCAGATATGGTGGGGAAAGAAACTAATTTTATAACAAAATCCACACCTCTAAAAGATTTTGAGGGGCCATAAGAATCACTGTTGAAAAGGGGACACAATGTCTGTCTGTTGCTATATGTGCAATACTTTAGAAACACAATTTTTATATGGTGTGCTTGTCCATGACAGGGTAGACACATGTTGACTTGCCACTGCAAAAACAGTTTGACACACATGTGTCCTTGGTGGTCTATAGTCACATTACTATGATGAATATCCAAAGGAATTAAAAATCATAATTCGTTTTTTTGAAAGTTATGATGAGGAAGCTTTCAGAAGCATTTAAAGCATTGGACATCTGGTTAAGATCACCATAGTGAACAATTCTGACTCTCAATAAACAAAACCATACTAGATCATTTTGTTTACATCTCAGTGATTGAATTGTGAACATTCTTCTTTAAGTTTAAACCTTCAACTAACACAGACTATTCCTAACCGGGGGCACTGAGAACGCATACACACAATGCTGCACTATAGTGTTTCAGACTTGAAATGCTGTTGTTGTTTGAAAGCCTCAGTTGCTGCACTACCAAAAGCAAGCCCTGCTGATTCAGCCTTTAAATTAGTTATGTACCTCATATGAACCCGCTAAGATGCATATGAGGCCTAGTTTACTAAAAGCACTGCAGCACTTAGCTAGCAGAAAACGTGTGCAGAAGTGATACTCACTCTAGCATCGTCTTTAATGCTATGGACCTTTTTGTGTTCTTGATTCTCATAGCTGTTTTTAGCTGCTTTGTTGCTGCAGTAGCAGTTTGTGGCATTATGATGGAAGCAGTGTGGGTATATAGGGATATATGGTCAGAAGATGGTAGCTCAGACTTTAGATAGTCCTCACTGCTCTTCCTGTCTTGAGCTGTGGTTCTGCATCTGCAATAGGAGACTGTGATAGTGCTGAAGAGCATAAGCAATAAGAAACTGAGCAGTTTCAGCTTGTAAGTAGGCAACTACATTCACTGTTTTTTCACTGCTTTTTAACTAAATTGTTTACCTAACTGAGATGCAGTACCTTTGACTAAAGCCTGAGCAATGTAAGGCACTGTGAGGCAAAATAGTCCATGAAGAAAACATATTTTCTAAGATTTACCATTATTTTTCATCATCAACATGTCATTTTGGATAGTAAATAAAACGACTGTATTTGCACTGTATACATTGCGACCCCCTGACTCACCCCATCACCACAGTTGTAAAATGGTTTCAGTTAGTTTCTCTGGAATGGCACATTTCTCATCAGAACACTATGAATGACTTTATTCACATCTCAATGATTTAATAGTGCAGCAATTGTATATTAAAAGGCTATAAATAATTGGATGCTAGCATTTTCTCTCTCACACAGAAGTTCTTCGCTCAACAGAGAGAAAAACACATGTACACATAACTTCATCATTCAGCTATTCATAATAAAAGCTTGTCTGTGCCTCTTTACAGGAGTGACCATATCCACTGTAATGTCAATTTCTGCTGTAATAGTATGAGATAATATTCATTATAAAGTCTATGATTTGGACAGATTTATCACACAGTCACCCAAAAAGCCATGCTTTCTTCCAGAAACAAAATCATGAGAGGCATTGGAATTCTTGTGGAATGTGTTTTATTTAGATCCAATAAGGATTTAAATTGCTATGCTCTGTTAACACTGATCGTCAAGCCCCTGGTGCCACTGAATTTCTACATCAAGAGGTAGGAAGACTGTGTCCATCTTAAACACACTCATAC